TTCTTACATAAACTTAGCACCACTCTTTCTGTCTTCGAGCACTCCCTGCACCTTGGCTGATGAGTGTATTGTACCATCAAGTTTGGAGCCTTTGCAAAGTTCTGTGGCATAAATTGGTTTGCTTACTGTTGACTTTCTGTCACTGTAGACCAACAATTTGGCCTTGTTTTGTTGTTTAAGTTGGCATTCAGGATTCTATCAACTTTCCAGCTTCCAAAAGAGTTGCAATTTCTCATGTTTCATCTCCTCTACTTTTCTCTTTGCCTTATGGGTTTATGCTGTTTGTTTCTTTTCTACCATTTTAGTTAGGTGTGTAATAAACATGGGTTCAATTTGCTATGTTTCAATGAAAGTCTTCTTTCCGTTGCTCTCAATGATTTTGTGTGTGTCTCCCCAACGGATAGTGAACTCCAAGGAAATCACTGTTGAAGTGTTATTTATACATCGTGGTACAGTACCTTCCAAATAGGAGTTATACTGTTTGTGTTTATTACTGATTACCTTGAATAGCAGGTACAAGTGTCTTTGGGGGTACACAAAAGACTTTTCAAGGACATTGGCAATTTCCAGGTCCTCAACTTCCATCTGTAACCTCTCCTAAAATTCATCTGAGAATGTCTGCAACCCAGGTATTGTACTGGCTTTCCTTTCTCTCTTCCTCTCTCACACTGCCTTTCTCCCTCTTTCACACACACCACCACCACCACCACCACCACACCTACATCTTTTTATTTATTTATTTATGGCTGCCTTGGGTTTTCGCTGCCGCGTGCAGGCTTTTCCCACTTGCGGAGAGTGGGGGCTACTCTTCGTTGCGGTGCGCGGGCTTCTCATTGAAGTGGCTTCTCTTGTTGCGGAGCACGGGCTCTAGATGCGTGGGCTTCAGTAGTTGTGGCAAGTGGGCTCAGTAGTTGTGGCTCGTGGGCTCTAGAGTGCGGGCTCAGAAGCTGTGGTGCACGGGCTTAGTTGCTCCGTGGCATGTGGGAATCTTCCCAGACCAGGGATCAAACCAATGTCCTCTGCACTGGCATGCGGATTCTTAACCACTGCGCCACCAGGAAAGTCCCCACACCTAAATCGTTTTAGGGCACAATTTTCGCAGGATGTATAAACCCACAGGACAGTATATAAAAATACAATTTGAAACATTACTTTGGGCCAATTTCTTTCAATTAAGGCACCATAACCCAAGGTCTGAATATGGATATATATTTGGCCTATGTCTCAATTTAGATATACTGTAGAGTGGGGGATGGGAGGAAGTAATGACAAAATTTTTTTTTTTTTTTGACTGCACGGTGCAGAATGTGGGATTTTAGTTTCCCCGACCAGGGATCGAAACCTCGTCCTCCGTCCTCTGCATTGGAACCACGGAGTCTTAACCACTGGACCACCAGGGAAGTCTCTAATGGCAATTTTTAATTAAAGACTTTGTCTCTTCCACCTGTTGTCAAAGAGCTTTGCTGCTGAGGAAGAGTCCTGTGAAAGTAAAAAAAGCTAAGCTGAGAAATGTTGAATTAACTAATTTCTTCCTGCTAATGGCAGGTCTCCACGTCTTAACTACCTACCTTAGAACACTATTATACAAAATGTATAAGAAACCTACTAAGACAGCACCCAGATCATGGATTCTAAACACCATTCTCCAATTAAAAACCAGGGCAGGCCCCTTGGAGAAGTGGTTGCTTCCAAAGATGGGGCAAGGAGTCCACAAGATGAACCCGGAACATCTTGTGGTCCCACAAAGTAAGGAAGTCCTAACAAAAAGATGAGGATTTGTTGAAAGAATGAAGGAGCCTACGTGAAGGAACTCTTCTAATAGCCAAAGGTGTAAGAATTTGAGCAACAAAGGAACACTATTATTGAATTTTAACCCACAGAACAAAATAAACATCCAGGAGTCCACAGTACCATTGATTAAATGAATGGGGGAGAAGAGGCAGCTCTTCCTTAGAGTATAATTCCAATTAGTGTAGAAGTAAAGAGGGAAATGGAAAATCACCATTTGCAAAACATCACAGTAATAATTGTTCTAGACAAGATCCACTAAAAGTAGTGGCTGACTGTAAGGACAATTTGCAAAGTCTCAAAGTATCTCCTCCAAGATATCTATCAACTAAAAGGGGAAAGACAGTAACTTTGCAATGGAGAAACCTGATGAAACCACCTTCACCAAGTAATCAAGGTCAACATCACCAATAATAAATGACTTATTGACATTGGGAATTCATTTCTGTGATATTCTTCCAAAAAGCATAACATGAGTTCAGTCATGAGAAAACACTAGGCAAACCCAAATTGAGGGACATTAGACAAAATAACTGATCAATACTCTTCAAAAGTGACAAGGGCATGAAAGACAAGGAAAGACTAAGGAACTCAGCCGCAGACTTAGAAGTAACTAAATGTACTTTCTGGGTAATATAATGGAACAGAAATAGAACATTACTGGGAAAGCTGATGAAATATGAGTAAGGCTTTTGATTTAATTAACAGTAGTTTATCAAATATTAATTTCTTGGTTCTGATCATTGTACTATGGTTATATAAGATGCTAACATTAGGGGAAGCTAGGTGAGGTATACACGGAAATTGTAATATTTTTACAAATTTTCTGTAAATCTACAGTCAGTTCAAAATAGCAAGTTAAAAAAGTAAATAGCGGGGCTTCCCTGGTGGTGCAGTGGTTGAGAATCTGCCTGCCGATGCAGGGGACACGGGTTCGTGCTCTGGTCCGGGAAGATCCCACATGCCGCGGAGCGGCTGGGCCCGTGAGCCATGGCCGCTGAGCCTGCGCGTCCGGAGCCTGTGCTCTGTAACGAGAGAGGCCCCAACAGTGAGAGGCCTGCATACCGCAATTAAAAAAAAAAAAAAAGTAAATAAAACCATGACTATAAAGTACACCTTCTCTGTATTTTTTTCCATTTCCAGTGCTAACTTGGCCTAATGCCATCTTTTGATCCCAAGACAAATTTACTATATTATATAGTCATACTAACAAATGTTTGTGGAGTGAAACCTATCATCTAATTATGTCTCCTTTTGATATGTTTGTGGTTGTGGTTGAGAAATAATACATTTATTACATTTGCCAGGGATTCAACATCCAGAGTTCTGCTTTTAGGCAGGATGGAGAGAAACTCTTTGGAAGTTACTCTCCACTTTGCCATTGATTCTGCTTTTTTGAGTAAACTGTGTGACTAGAATAAAGTTCCTGTCCTCTGTACTTTCCCAGGTATACCTTTTAACATCTGTAATAGTAAAAATAATTAGAATTTAAATGCTCTTACCATGTAAATAGATAAGAAGTGGCATTAAGTAAAACAGCAAAGAGATAAAAGCAGCTTATTAAGCTCGTCAGCACAAACTGAGCTTTATTTAACTGCAAGTGATGTAACCTATGTACACATTTGTTTCCCTTCCAAGTTTAACTGCTAAAATTGCCCTTACAGAGATTACATTGTAAACTGTATTTCGTTAGTAATTTATTAAATTTGCCTGTCAATTGACACATTCTGTATGGAGCCTTAAAATGATGTTTTGAGAGTTTATTTACAATCATTGAAAGCAACGGTTCTGTAAAACAGGTAATTACAGCTCTTTAAGCTCACAACATACATATACTTAAACATTTAAATAGAAGTCCATTTTCTTCAAAAGTAATTTTCTACTGCTTTTTCATAAAAATATAAAAAGACAACATCTGTAGTTTTAAAAAACCTATATTTAACCCAAATTAAGATTTTTCTACAAATGATACCTCTTTCCAAAAAGTTTAAAAGACATCACAAAATAATGTGATGTTAAACCAAATAATTTCACCATGGCCTGGTACTTTACTTTTAAGAAATACTGTGCAGTATTTCTTTTTAAACTTTCATGCTAGATGTCAACTGTGTATATGCTATGTCAACACACCAGATTAATCCAAGTCATTCATATTTATGCAGTAGACTGTCATATACGACCAGTTACCATATGAACTGTCATACCACAATTGCAAAATGGTAAAAGGCAATCTTTATGAAAACTTAATATTTTAGTAAAAGGCAACCAACATCACTCTAATTTTCTGTAAAAATTACCTCTCTTCCTCCTACCATTTTTTTTCCCCTTTGAATGGTACCTTTTATAGCATATCAACACACAAAGGTATTTATATCACTTTTACTTAAGTTAGCTTTTTTTTTCCCCGTATGCGGGCCTCTCACTGTTGTGGCCTCTCCCATTGCGGAGCACAGGCTCTGGACGCGCAGGCTCAGCGGCCATGGCTCACGGGCCCAGCCGCTCCGCGGCATGTGGGATCTTCCCGGACCGGAGCACGAACCCGTGTCCCCTGCATCGGCAGGAGGACTCTCAACCACTGCGCCACCAGGGAAGCCCTAAGTTAGCTTTTTAAATGACTGTTTTCTTTTCTGATACAATGAATTTATCAAAAGGCACCAAGATTAGAGTCCTATGTAGTTTCAGAATTTTGTTCCTTTTTAAGTTCCTCTAGAATAATTTTTGTCATAAAAGGGTAACTCTAAGAACCAGAAGAAAATGAATGATACAACACAGTAACTTAAAACTTGTACCATCAAAAAGGTATAAATTTATTAATAGATTCCTTGAACTTTTCACTTAGAAGAAGAAGTCAGAAGAACTTTCTGAACATAAACATAAAAATAGAGCACATGTATTAACAGTAGGAAAACTCTAAGCTTATAGAGGTATTAAATCTTACATAGTAACATACAGCCAAAAGCATTAGAAATTCACCGCCAGATAGATATTCTGATGCATTATCCTGAAAACGTGTCTGATACATAGCACTAACATGTAACAAAGTATGGCATTTATTTCACAGGGAGAAAAGATAGGTTTCATCACAAAAAGATTTACTAGAGGGGCCTCCCTGGTGGCACAGTGGTTGAGAGTCCGCCTGCCGATGCAGGGGACACGGGTTCGTGCCCCGGTCCGGGAGGATCCCACATGCCGCAGAGCGGCTGGGCCCGTGAGCCATGGCCGCTGAGCCTGCGCGTCCGGAGCCTGTGCTCTGCAACGGGAGAGGCCACAGCAGTGAGGCCTGCGTATCGCCAAAAAAAAAAAAAAAAAAAGATTTACTAGATTTCAGCTTTGATTAATTTTAGAGATATATTTTAAAGATAAAAAAAAAAAGATTCACCCCTAAAATAAAAAAGTCTTTATATATATAATCCATTATTAATACTCTTTATGCTCCTACAATGTAAAACATTTAGAAACTTTTGAACTCTAAAAGTTTTGATCAGTTAACCTATTTGGTCTTAACACATTCTAAATTCCCTTCTGAGAATCGCATTAACGTTTTTAGTCCATCAGTCCAACATGGATGGAACAATTCTATTTCTTTTTCTTCTTCTTTGGTGGTTCATCCTCAGAGCTACTATTTGTGCTGCTGCTGCTGCTACTGGAAGAGCTGGAATCTGAGTCTGAATCGGAGGACGAGGAAGAGCTTGTGGAGGAGGCTGAAGATGATGAACTGGAGGAGCTTTCATCAGAGTCACTGTCCTCTGAGGAGGATGAGGTAGAGGTCTCTTCACTCTCTGACGAAGAATCACTGGCTGAACTGTCACTGCTATTGCTACTGGAACTAGTTACACTCTTAGACCTATTAGACAATTATATGCATGAGAAGCTGACATTTAATAGAATGTTTAAAAGCAATTTCACTTGAGTATTATGTATATATATATACACTGAAGCTTTGCTAGCATGTTATCTCTAGATCTGATGTTTTGAGGATTCCCTAACTGTAATAACCCCACCGTGCCCACCCTCTCCCCTCAACCACAAGGTCTTTTACTACAGCAATTTAACTCTCTTGGATGGAGTCTGAGATAAGTGTATCTACTATACTATGCTCCAGAGTGAATGATGTTAGAATAAAGTTGCAGTTTAACAACTGGGTTTATTTAAACCTCATGTAGAGTGGTAAATGCTTCATAACCTTAACTACTTTATACCAGATACAGCTGGTCAATAATTTCTTACCACTCTAATAACATTTCCTAATCTAAGACAAGAGAAATTACTATTTCCAGGTATAAGGACTCTAGAAAGTTGGAGAAAAAGGATAAATGAAGGAAGAAACTCCAGATAGGTAAACAGAGGAACATATCAGAAAACAGGATGATATTTAATCATGAATTGCAAACAAGAGACTTCAGATCCAAATCTTTTAACTATTATTTTAAAATCACACACCCCATCCCTCCAACTAGTATTATATATTATCTATATAATACTAAAGCCACACATACCTTTTTTTCTTGGTCTTTCTTTCTACATTAGTTTCTCCAATGCTGATAAATGTGAAGGGGGGAAAAAGCTCCTGTTAATACAGTGATTATAAACAGCTCAAATGCTTCTGCTATCCCCAAAACTTTTTTCATTGGAAAAACACTTTGTCTTTTATAACATGTACTGAGAGTCCAGTGTTTATTGCTATAATCAAGAGGAAAGTTTCCTGTTGCAGGTGTATATGGTACATACAGTCAACTTAACCAGCACTTAAGCAAGACAAATGTTATCAACTGTACTTTAGAAGCGAGGTTAAGTTAGTAGTTAAGATGACCAAACGCACCAATTTGATTGTTTTTTAGTTTTTTCCCAACTCATCTATTTTATTTATTCATTCTTGGCTGCACTGGGTCTCCGTTGCTGTGCACAGGCCCTCACCAGTTGCAGCGAGCAGGGACCACTCTTCTTTGCTGTGTGCGGGCCCCTCACCACGGTGGCCTCCCCTGTTGCGGAGCATGGGCTCTAGGTGCGTGGGCCCCAGCAGCCATAGCACACAGGCCCAGTAGTTGTGGCTCACAGGCTCCAGAGCACAGGCTCAGCAGCTGTGGCGCACAGGCCCAGCTGCTCCGTGGCATGTGGGATCCTCCCAGACCAGGGCTCGAACCCGTGCCCCCTGCATTGGCAGGCGGACTTCCAACCACTGTGGCACCAGGGAAGCCCCTCTTTTTTAGTTTTGAACTTAGATTGACATGGCTAAATCGACTATTTAGTGAACAACAGAACAAAGCAAGTAATAGCACAACAGCTGTAATTTATAATTTGGGTTTCTAGAATGGTATTATAAATGGCCATTTCATATTAAAAAAAAGCAACCTTTAATTTAAAAAACCATTTCTTAATTGATTCACTTTGCTGTACACCTGAAACGAACACAACATTGTAAATCAACTATACTCCAATAAAAATAAAAAGTAAAAATAATTAAAAAATAATTAAAAACTATTTCTTGTGACTTCCTTGGCAGTCTAGTAGTTAAGACTCTGTGCTTCCACTGCAGGAAGCCCGGGTTTGATCCCTGGTCTGGGAACTAAGATCCTGCATGCCGCGAGGAAAGGCCAAAAAACAAAAACAAACAAACAAACAAAATACTTCTTTTTCTGCATGTCCCCCAAACGTTCAGTTATTTACTGCTTAAGAACCAGAGACTTAATACTTCAAGACTGTGTTCCCTCACATTATTTATAAAGAACAAAGTCTGGAGATTTCTGAGTGAAATACACAAATGGCTTGCTGCTATACAGCTGCCAAACAACATGCATAGTAAATCAGGCTTTCAAATTACAGATTTACTTCTATTACTATATACTGTCCTGTAAATTTAACATTTTTATATTCTGAACTTCTCTATATTTCCTAGATAACATTATATCCTTATTTCCTGGGTCCTCAAATATAAATATGTATTTATGTAAAGCTGTTTTACACGATGGAATTACTTACTGGAGAATTGTAATTTTTGCAGTAAAATAAGTGGTAGAAGTACATTTGTTAAGTCACACCACAAGAATGCAAGATCACTGAAATTCACACACTTCCGTAATTTTATCATTGAACCAAAAAATCAGCAGTCTTTACGTAACAGAGCCAAAACTAAAATTCATGTAGTTCTATGTATTTTTAAGACCAAGATAGTTGTGTAATACAACTAGAAAAACAAAAGTAAATGTTGAAATGAAATTATTCATAACTCTTGTATTTTATTCTTTAGGACAGAGGTCTTCAAACATTTTTTGCTTACATTCCTAATAAAAGAAGTTTGAAAAATTATGTTTTTCCCCTCAAAGGTTATAAAGTCTGGCATATTATATATTAAATATTGATATTTTAAAAAGAAAATCGTTACATCATTTTGGTAACTGTAAATACCACAAAATTTGATATGTATCATAATTAATTTTAAAAAAATAAATGAACAAGCTTATCTTTAACAATTGGTACTTTTACACTGTCCTTTTTCCTCTTTGAACTTGAATTTTTATTCTCCTTTCCCCACAGAATGTATCCTAATATATTTTCATGCCTGAAAATTTTAGTGATCACTTACATTTCTCTGCAGTAAAAATATAGACATAACTTAATATTGTATCTTTTAATTACTTGTGATCATAAGGTTTTAAAAGTGTTTAAAAATTCTGAGTTGAATTACTATTATCATTACTACTATACAAATTGATTAAAACAATGTAAAATATATTATAACTTTTTGTAACTATTATACATAAAAAAATTTCACTGGAACTGTACCTCTTAATGACATGGATTTTTTTTTCTAGCTTATGTATCCATGGATCTTATTGCTTGACTATGACAGGGTTCAGTATCAATTTAATTCCTATATATTTTTTTTTTGATTTAATTCCTATATTTAACTTTTACAGATTGCACCCTGAGAAAGCTTGTTAACCTGAACAGGTAGATGGGAATAGAAAGAGTTTTGCTGTAGCAATGTCACTCAGTTCTCTGAATTCCTCCCATGTTATATTCCACAAGTCACGTAACGATGTATCATTAAAATATACTTTTAAATTGACAACTCAATTAGATCCTCCTTCAATTTTGCTGAGAAAAAAAATTACAAAAGAACTTGCTCCCAATAATTTGGGCCTTTTACTTTCTTACAAACACCAGTATTTTGAAAAGTCTCTAGGATTTTATACATGAGCACAATATACCAAGGTAAGATTAGAGATAGGCGAGAGGTATGCCTTTCTTTTGTGAAATTAGAGAGGGGTAGGCAAGGTCTCATACAGATTTATCTTTGGAAGAAACATATATGAATATTGATAATCTAGAAACTGATTACCTGTCTATTCCTGTATAACCCTTGAAGAGCCTTCCTGTCCACAAACTGGAAGACTGTTGCCTGGAAAATCCAGATGTTTAAGACACTATTATATTGCTAACGGTCCTCATGAAGGTGCTACTTCTAATATGCAGCACTAAGTAGACCTGACACCTTCCTGTTTCAGTTACTCTGAAACACATAAGCTTACTTATTTCATGGGAATTTGAAAAGCTTTATTCAAAGGGCATAAAAGGATAAATAACAATTTTTCCCTCCTACCCAGTTCTCCTTCTAGAAAAGAACCACTATTATCAACCACTTATATTCCCCCCCCCAAAAAAAGCTCCATTATTCCTTTTTTCTTCCTTTTTAACATAAATGATAGTATATTATATATACTGTTCTCTACCTTGTTTATATACTTAGTATAAGTATCTTGGGTACTTACTTTGGATATCTTTCCATATCAGTTCATATAATCTACCTCATAGTATTCTGCTGTCATTTCATTGGCAGTTGAGGCAAGAAGAGCAAAGTGATTAAGAGCATGGACTCTGGAGACTGGCTAGTTGGTTTAACACTTAACTTTTCCACTCACTTGCTGTGTGACACTGAGCATGTTACTGAATCTCTCCATGCCTCAGCTTCTTCATATGTAAAATGGGAATTATAATAGTACTTACCTTAACGGTATAGATGTGATGCTGAAATAAGCTAATACTTGTAAAGACCTTAGTACGGTGCCTGGCACACAGTAACACTCATTAAACATTAGCTAATATTACAATATAATCTAAATCTGGATAACCACCGTGAGATATTTAGTCCCTTAATAAATTTTATAAATACAAATAAATACTCCTTTGGATACCATATGTAACCTTACCTTTGCTGTAATAATAATCTGTTTTCTTTTTCTTTTAAAGCTTTCTTTAGTTCTGCTGTTCTTGAAGGCCTATGTAGGTACTTTCTTTTTCCTGTGCATTCATAAGTCCAATGCCCAAATTCCAAGCATTTCTGACATCTTACATGTTGTTTATTTGCTTCACTGCAGAGTAAAAAATAGAATACAGGCCTTAAATTTTTGACCTGACATTTTCTGTCATGAGAAGCATAAACAATATAAGCATAAAATGATGCTTATGTAAAGGTACAATCCAAAAATAAGCATCATTTTACACTTTAAATTATTTGTTAGATTTAATCACAAAGCAATATAGTAAGTGGTTAAGAGCATGGACCTGGGAGTTAGACAGAACTGAGTACAAATCTTCTTTCCTCAATTCCATTCCAGTAATGGCAGACCAGGTAACTCAGACCAACTCTTCAGCTCAGAACTAGAAAAGACAGTCAAAACATTTTTAACAATGTGCTCGAGGTATCAGAGAACTAACAAGAGATTAAAGAATAACCAAGCCAAGATATGGAAGAAGCTGGAAACCCAGAGTGGTCAGTCCTACGTTTAAGTCAACTCTGGGTTTTTTTCCCAACTCAGGAGGGTAAGCAAGCATCACTTACAAGGAGCAAGGGAGACAAATTATGCATTCAGAGTTGGGACTCTGAAGGGCTTTACTCTAAGAATAAAGCAACTGCTTATCAAGTGCAGCCCAGATTCTAGTCACCTAGGAGACTAAGAAAAATCTCAGTCCCTGAAATTGAATTAAGGTGTGGCAAGTGAAGAAAAACAGATAAAGGAATTAGAAAGGAAGAAATAAAATTGTCATTCCTTACTGATGATGTATCATGTAAATGGCAAATCCAACAGACTCTACAGATAAAAAAAATTTTTTTTGGCCCTACCATGCGGCATGTGGGATCTTACTTCCCCAACCAGGGATCAAACCCTTGCGCCCTGCATTAGGAGCGTGGAGTCCTAATCGCTGGATTGCCGGGGGAGTCCCAAAACATTTTTCAATAATTAGAATTCATAAGTGAGTTTAGGAAGGTTTTATATTGGGGTCAGTAAACTTTGTCTATAAAGTGTCAGAGAGTCAATATTTTAGGCTTTGCAGACCAAGAGGCAAAATTTAATATATTACAAAGGTATTTATATCACAAGAGAGAAAACAAATTTCTACAAATATTTTATTAATGAAAATATTTCAAATAAAAGAGGTTTATTAATGAGAAGAATGGAATTCTTTTCTATAACATTTCACTCAATTGAGGTTCAAAATTAGTGTTCTCTATCATCAAATTGATCATATATATACAAACATATGTAAAAAGCATTCTTGGTTTGCAAGCCTACAACAGGCAGCAGGCAGGATTCAGTGGACTATCGTTTGCCAAACTTTCTATTAGATATTAGGTCAACACATAAAAATCAATTGAGTTTCTACTTAACAAAAACAGTTAAAAATAAAAATTTAAAAGGTGGTATTTATGGGCTTCCCTGATGGCGCAGTGGTTGAGAGTCCGCCTGCCGATGCAGGGAACACGGGTTTGTGCCCCAGTCCGGGAAGACCCCACATGCAGCAGAGCGGCCAGGCCCGTGAGCCATGGCCGCTGAGGCTGCGCGCCCGGAGCCTGTGCTCCGCAGCGGGAGAGGCCACAACAGTGAGAGGCCCGCGTACCGCAAAAAAAAAAAAAAAAAGGTGGTATTTATAACATTCTGAAAAATAACAAGCACTTATAAATAAGTGAAAGAAAATATGTGCAAGAATTCTATGCAGAAAACAAACATTACTGAGAGAAATTAAACATCTAAATAAGTAGCTAAGTAAAAGGATTACCATGTTCATAGACTGAAAGACTCAATATTGTAAAAACTGTCCATTCTCCCCAAACTGATCTATAGATTCAAAGCAATGCCAATCAGAATCTCAACAGGTGTTTGTTTGGTATGGAACTTAAACTTATTCCCTAAAATGTATATGGACATTCAAAAGGCCAAGAATAGCCAAAATACCCTTATAAAGGAACAAGTAGGGAAGACTTAGATTAAAATAAATTGACTTGTGGTGATCATTTTGTAATGTACAGAAATATTGAATCTCTTTGTTGTACACCTGGAACTAACGTAGTGTTGTAGGTAAATGATATTTCAAAAACAAACAAAAAAATCATAAAAAAAGAGTTCAGATTTGTGGTTAACAGAGGTGGGGGATAGGGGGAGCAGCAACCAGATGAAGGCAGTCAAAGTACAAACTTCTAGTTATAAGATAAATAAGTACTAGGGATGTAATGTACAACACGATTAATGAAATTAACAGCTGTATGTTATACGTGAAAATTGTTAAGAGTAAATCTTAAAAGTTCTCATCACAAGAAAAAAACTTTTTTCTTCTGTTTCTTTAATTTTGTATCTATATGAGATGATGGATGTTCACTAAACTTATTGTTAACAGTGACTTCATGACGTATGTAAATCAAATCATTATCCTTAAACTTATACAGTGCTGTACGTCAACTATATCTCAATAAGACTGAAAGAAAAAAATAAAAGACAGTGACTTATGATACAGCTATAATAACTTAGAATGTGAGACTGGAGCAAATATATACAAATATGCCAGTGGAACAGAACAGAATGTCCAGAAATAGACTAATGTATACATGAACAATTTATGACAACCATGGCATTAAAGAGCAGTGGGGGGAAAGGTTAGATTATAAATGATGTAGGGACAACTGGTTATGCACATGGTAAAAATAAGACTTAACCATAAGCCCAAAATGATTACAAACTTGGTCAAACAATAAGGTTTAAAAGATAGTATAAAAAAAGTGACATATTTGAGTTAGGAATTCTTAAGAAACAAAAACAAAGCACTAAGACTTCCCTGGTGGTGCAGTGGTTAAGAATCCGCCTGCCAATGCAGGGGATACGGGTTCGAGCTCTGGTACAGGAAGATCCCACATGCTGCGAAGCAACTAAGCCCGTGCGCCACAACTACTGAGCCTGCACTCTAGAGCCTGCAAGCCACAACTACTGAGCCCATGTGCCACAACTACTGAAGCCCACGTGCCTAGAGCCCGTGCTCCACAACAAGAGAAGCCACCGCAGTGAGAACCCTGCGTACCGCAATGGAGAGTAGCCCCCGCTCACCGCAACTAGAGAAAGCCCGCGTGCAGCAACGAAGACCCAACGCAGCCAAAAATAATAAATAAATACATTAATTTTACAAAAAGCACTAATCATAAAAGATTGATAAATTAGAATTACTAAAATTAAGAATTTTCAAAAATTAAGAATTTCTGTTCATCAAAATATACTATAAAGAGAGTAAAAAGAGAAGCCAAAGAGTGGGAGAAGATATTTGTAACACATTTTGCCAACAGCTTCATCTTAAGTATACAAAGAACTCTTATGAATCATTAAGGAAATGATGTACAATAGAAAAATAAGATAAAGTGGAAGATGGAAAGGCAGTACAAAAATGGGATTGGGAAACAAATTAATAAACACATGAAAAGGTGCTCATTACTAACATAAGAAAAAGCAAAAACCACTATAGTTGAAGAAATGCATACCCCACAGTCCAGCAATTCCACTTGCAGGTACTTACACAACAGAAATCTACAAAAAACTATACCAGATAACATGTGTAAGAATATTGGAATATTGCTTTCCTTTACGTAGCTTTTAAAAGTTTTGAAATAGTCACAACCTTATAGAAAAGCTGTTAAGTACAGTTCAAAGAACTATTTTTCCTAAATCATTTGTGAACTGTTTTTGCTGAGCCATTTGTAAGTTGCCAACCTGATGCCTCATCAAACCAGAATACTTTACTGCATGTTTTCTATAAACTAGGACATTCTCATATATACAATGTAACCATCAAAATCAAGAAGTTAATGTTGATACCTTCAAGATCCCATTTAAGTTTAATCTTCAGACCCCATTTAAGTTTCATCAAATGTCCCAAAAACATTCTCTCTAGCAAAATCCAGTTCTGCATCAATGTTGCACATGTTGTCATGTCTCTTCCTTCTTCTGGAAGAGTTCCTCAGTCCTGTGTCTTGCTTTACATGACCTTGACACTTTTTGATGATTACAGCCAGTTATTTTGTAGAATGTGCTTCAATTTGAGTTGGAGGATTTGCTTCCAAGTTCACTCATGTGGCTAACGGGAGGCTTCAGTTCCTTACCTGCTGGCCTCTCCATCGGGCTGCTTACAACATGGTTTTACCCAGGGAGAGTAACCAAGATAACTCAAGAAAGAAGTCAGTCTTTTATCACCCAATCTTGGAAATGACATACCATTACTTTTGCTATATTCTACTGGTCATACAGACCAACTCTGGTACTCTCTGGAAGAGAGTACACATGAAGCAGGGATCACTGGAGATCATCTTGGAGGCTGGCTACAACATCTGATATCTCTATATGATTAGATTCAAGCCATGTATTTTTGGCAGGAATATAACAGAAATGTGCCGTGTTCTTCTCACTGTATTCCTGTCAGGTGACACAAGACTACAATTTGTCTTGTTACTGATGATGTTCGTTTTGATCCCTTCATTATGGAGGGTCAACCAGATTTTGCAATATAAAGGTATTTTTTGTCCTTTTGTAATTGAGGTGGTTTTAAATTATGTCCACAAATTCTATGATATCCTTACTTCAAGGGTTGGAGCCTAACTACCCTCCCCTTAAGTGTGGCTAAGACTTAGTGACTTGGTTCTAACTAACTAACTTGCTTCTAACTAAAGCAGGGTGATGGAGCGTGACTTTAAAGATTAGCTCATGTAGCTGCCATGTCATGAAAACACTCAAGCAGCCTCTAGGGAGGCCCACGTAGTGAGGAACTGAGGCTTCCTGCCAACAGCCCTGTGAATAGCTATCTTGGAAGCAGATCCTCCAGTTGTGGTCAAGTCTTCAGATGACTGCAGCCCCTGGCAACATCCTGACCACAAACATGTGGGGAGAACCTAAGTCAGAACCACTCAGCTGGGACTTCCCTGGTGGTCCAGCGGTAAAGAAGCCGCTTTACAATGCAGGGTACGCGGGTTCGATCCCTGATTGGGAAACTAAGATCCCACATGCCGCAGGGCAACTAAGCCCGCGCGCCACAACTACTGAGCTCCTGCGCCTCAACTAGA